AAATGTTATTTCTTTGTCTGCTTCAACTGTTGTTTCAGAAATTGGCATGCTAAATACACAGGATCCAACAACTGTATGTAAAAACTACCTATCCATAATACATATGTCAGTGTGATACTCAGCAGTTCTCTCAGTTCTCATCTTCTGTGAAACACTCCCTCTTCAAGCTGTTTGGCTTCCAGTTTTAAAGGTTAAAGAACACAAATCTTTATATAATAATATATTAAAAGAGTGTATATATGTGTTTTATATTGTGTACATTTGCCTGTGTATAGATGTTTTAACTGTAATATGTTTTACATTTGTTGTGTTTAGTAGGTTATTTTGAGATATTGTAAGAAAAGTAAACTAATATGTGTTGTGCTGTATATGTAACTTTCTGTATTAAAGTGTTGACACTCCAGACCAAGGTCTGTTTTTCTTTTTTTGTCACTCTTGTACCTAGTGTCTTGGATAGAGGATATAGACTTTCTTTCCATCACATCACATCATGGTAAATAATTATCTAAAGAGGTTCTATATCTGCTTCCATTGCCCCTCAAACAAAGGTTATAAACCTTGCTGCAGCATTAATATGGAAAAATTGTTTAGTGTTTTACCTTTCCTAACTACGCTTTGTAATACCACGTCTCTCCTGGTGGGGTCCTCAGTCCATAAGGCCTGACAGCTCCTAGTATAAAAAGACAGTTTTGACAAACTGGCTGTGTAGCTGTAGGGATCCGCAGTATGTTCCCAGTCCCCTGTGTAAATGTTACCTCTGAGTGCTGAGCTGGCTGCTGGCTTCGCTTTTGTCTGCCAGAGCGCTGCATGGCTCCAAATAGGATTTAGTCTGTGGTTAACACCAGGTTAGAGTCAACACATGCATGCTGCTGATATTTGCACTATATGTGAACAATGAGTGCTGTGATTAGAAAGAGGGATGTGATCAGGTTTTGTCACAATCAAAAATGCAATTAGGAAAGCTCCTACACACTCTCTGTGAAGATATTAAGAATTAATGCTCTATAATTAGTAGATTTAATTTATATCTTGAATTAAGTTAAAAGTATCTTAGTCTTTACATTAGTGAGTGACAGCATGTTTCGTCACACATGCAATCATACTTAATCTCTTCATGTCCCATTTCTTCAAATAAAGACACCACAGTGAGCTGTGCGGTTGGGAAGGAACTGGCCAATGAAATGTGTCACCATTTTCACCTTTTTAATTATACAGTCTGTGATTTTCACCCGTTCTATGTGAAGCACATTCCTGGTCTGAATCAAGTCTTCATTCTTAATATTAGCACAGTAGAGAGATGGAGAGGGAGGACGAGAGGGAGGGAGGTGATTGTGGATTGATGGTAAAAACTGTCAGTCTTGTCACGGTGAGGCTGTCAGTGGTGGAAAGTAACTAACAGTACTCAAGTACTCTAATTCTTATGTACTTGTACTTTTACTACACTGCATTTTAGGGGCAAATATTGTAGTATTCACTCCACATAATGTGTCTGTCGAATGTAGTAACATTTTTCAGATTATGATTTTACAAAAAACAAAACAACAATTTATAAGCTTATAAAAATGCAAAATATATTTTTTAAATGTAATCAGTGGTTCCCATACATACAGACACCTTTAAAAGAAATCTGGTTTGGGACCCTGTCATGTCTAAGACCCAAAAGGGGTAAAATTATCCAATATCCACCGCTAAAAGCAAATATCAGAGCCACTTTGTGAAGCAGAACTTGTCCCATTAATCATCTCACAAGCCTTTGGAGGGCCCGACCCATATGTTGGGAACCACTGGATTAAACAACTGTATATAAAGTGGTTAAAACTAGCTCCAGTAAATACTGCTTTCACATTGTTGCATCAGTATTGGCAATCTAATAATGTCATATATAATACATATATCACAGGGGACATTTTACTGCAGAATAAGTACTTAAAGTGCATTTTGCTGGAACTACTTTTGTGCTTTAGTAGGAATTTGAATACAGGACTTTCACTTGTCATATAAGAGTATTTCTATTATTGATGTATCAATACTTTTACCTAAGTGAATGATTTGAATACTTCCTCCACCACTGGGCTCATCATTCTTCATCTTTAATCCGAATACATGACTTTTTAACGTTGAGCTGTAAACTGAGCTGATGACGTCTAAGCTGTGTTTGTGTGTCCTTCCATTTGCTTCATAATTTGAAACAAAGCTAAAAATGCTTCAGGCCTCGTCTTGATCGATGTCATCTGTTGAGATGCAGCCATCTGACAGCACTGCCAGGCAGCACCAGCCTTATATAACCACCCCATGTGAGAGTGAGCGCCCTCTCAGTCTGTTCAAAGATGGTGAGTTTCTTGACAACCTCTGAACATCTAAAATTTGGAAGCTCCTTTAAAAAAATAAAATAAAAAGGTAGATTGACATTGAAAACTTTCTACTTTTTAAAAATTGGAAATGAAGAAAATGTCAAATCTTCCAAAGTCAACACTTGACAGACTGAAGAGGAGTCCCGTCTGTGTTTATTAGCAGGCAGGATGTAGCACAGGTTTGCAGGAAACTGCTCGAGCTTGTATGGATTGCTCGTCCACCCCTCTTTGAGCCATCCTGTCTTGACTTTCCCTCGTAAACAAGGACAATTACCAAGCTAATGAGTTGAGAAAAAAACTGCTTGAGTGATTGATACTCTCAATGGGGAAATTAATTTGATATTAATAGAGCACTTGGCAAGATAAATAGATAGTGGTGTGTGAGTTCTCTCCTTGATTGATAATGGATAGATTGATGGCTGTCTTAATGCAAGATGTTCCTTAGTCTTAAATGAAGTGGCCTTGATGAGGAGATACTTTTCTATCACAATATGATCAAGTGTTCAGAGCGTTATGCAGCTTCAAATGACTGTGATATTGATATATTCAAGGTGCCACACCTCAAGGTAGAGATACATATTACGTGATAATGATAACAGATCATGATTCCAACATGCACAACAGTATCTCTTGGGAAAAAAAGTGTTGCATTTTACTTGTTGACTGGATTTACTGATGCCAAATGATGCATGTGATGTTGGTCATCCATAGTTGTAAACTCATTCAGCTGCTCTTGTGAGATTGTGTTTGCCCAGCTTTCACAAGTGGCTTCTTAAAAGATCACCTTGCATCATTCCTGCAGTTCCTGATGACTCGTAAGACCCCCACCTAACCTTCTCTCAGTGAAGCATTTTGCTTAATGATGCACTCAGAGTCTGATTGTGGCGCCGGGTAGAAGACATTCAACATACACATACATTAACACCCTGTTACATGGGTCACTGCTGCAGAACAAAGAGCGAGAAGTTACTAATTTCTCAGTGTGTGTGTGTGTGTGTGTGTGTGTGTGTGTGTGTGTGTGTGAGTGTGAGTGTGAGTGTGTGGTTTTCAGAATGCACTAGTTGCAGCGATTATACAGCTATCTCATACTGCAGGCTCTCTCATACCTGACCAACTCAATCTTTCTGTGTCTCCTCAATAATCAGAGTGACAGCAAGCAACTAGACATATCTCACCCACTGGCTCACTCCAGAATGGGTATTGACCTACATATCAAATCACACGCTCCTGGCTTGTGTGATAGAGATTCTTGGGGGAAAAAATAACACTGTATGATTGGCAGTCCTACTTTAGTAAACACGTTACATCCTCCTGGGTATCTGCCTCTTCACATGTATTCTCTGTTATAGGTAAAATAGCACGTCGAAGGAAAATGTGGCCTGCAAATCCTACAAGCCAGGAGTTCCTGCCATCTCAGCAGTGTTTTTCTCTGCTACTGTAACAGTAGACAACAGCTGAGAACACCTGGTTGTCTTGAGTGTGTATTTTTATTAACGAGCCTGTGTCACCAAACTTTTAACAAATGGCCCCCCGGCACCCTGACGCCCCGAAAAACCCAGCTCGGAAATTAAGCATCTGCATCATAAATCTTAGAAAGTTACAATAATTTGCAATTCACTCCCTCATCAAAGGCAATATTACCCTAATTTATTATCTCCCCGCACGAGGGGCACGCAAAGGCCGTGGAGATAAGAGTTTATCAGGAGGGGGATTGATTTTCATTAACTGATTGTAATAAAGATGAACTGCCTGCCGTGCACACTGACCAAGAGCCACACTTTATTGTAATTGGGACAATTTATTTCATGAGCCAGTGGCTCTACTTTTTTGTCCCTCCCATTCTTTTTTTTCATATCTGTCGCTGTTCTTCAAAATGTGAATGTGGTGTCTCAGCTGTATCGCTGCCGATGGTACAGTGACTTCTGATGTACGGAGATGATGATTATAAGGTGGGGAGGCAAGTTAACTGTCGACACAAGTTGCATCAGATTTTTGGCTTCTGGCATCAAAGCAATACTGGATGTAAACTTGACTGGTACTTCCTTATTTCAATTTATATGCTTCCTGCTTGTCAAAATATTAATGTTATTTGTTCCCGGCTTACCCTTACAGCTCTTCTACAATCCATGATACCTCCCAACTGTCTGGTGTTTATGTGCCACACTTTTGTTTTTGAATTCTGTTCCCATCATATATGTCTTGAGAAATATTTCAGTTGTAGTGTGTCTCCCTGCAGCAGAGCAGCATCATGTGACTTGCTAGCTGGTAAAGCCACCAGTTTCTACAATGACAGATAATCCAAATCATCCTACTATGAAAAAGGTACATTTCCTCTCCTTAAGCTTCCAGTGTTTTATGATGAATCCTACCTAGTGTGCGAGCAACAGCCTCATTTGAAGTTCAAGCTGTGGATTTGCAGCAGTAACCCTGTTATCCTTTAATGGGCGATGACACTATCACCACAGTTTCATCATTTGACAGGGACAAGGCATCACTACCAGACTCCGAGGTGGCGAGCTGTAAGACGTTCACAAATGTTCAAGGTCCTTGAGATGCAGAGGGGAGAAAATCCATGTGCGACAACTCCCCCCTCCCTTTGCACTGTGGCTCAGCACTTCATTCAATATAATATAACTGAGAAACAAAACATCCAGTTTGAATTTTTATTGTAAAATTGGAAAAAAAGGAGAGAAAGAGAGAAAAGCCCCAATAAGCGTTTCTTTTTGATACATATCTTTATCTTACCATAACCATTAAAGAAAAGAAAAGAAAAGTGGCTAAATAAATAATAAATAAATAATAAATAAATAAATAAATAAATAAATAAATAAATAAAATAAATAGATAAATAAATAAACATCAAGTTACATACTTGACTCGATAATTAATTATAAAATTAATAAATCATCAATCATTAATATGAAGTAATCTAAGCAGCAAGTATTAAGAAATTTCAACAGGGGAAAAATGTTTGGTTTCTCAGGCTAATACAGAACACATAGTTTTTTTAAAAGTTTTTTTTATAAAAAGATACTGCTTTCCCTGTCAGTTTATCCATGCTGTACTGACGCTGCCACAAAAACAGGTGGCGCTCTCCTTTAAAGAAAAGAAAGGAAAGAAAAACAATACAACCTGTAAACTGCATGTTCTCCTCCAGGTTTAAAGAATAGTACTGAGATTCCTCTTTTTGCGCCCTGTATGTCAGTAAAGTCTTCTTCACAGACTCCATACTGCTGTTTATATGTTTTTGTATGCTTTGTGCTGAGAAACCAGAAAGTTAACATCTTTATAAAGCGATAACCCCCCGCTCCCACCCCCGATCCCTCCCCCATTTCAAACCCTAAACCTATATGTACCCAAAGAAAGGTCCTGTGCTGATTTTCCATAATATACAGATTTCATATTTATAATAAGCTACTATCCTTAGCATTCAAACCATAGTTAAAGAATCATATTGTTAATACGAGTAGTACCATAATCATAATCTTTAACCCTCCCAGCCCCCATTGAGCATGCTCAGAGATTGAAAGGGCACCATGGTAAGATGACAAATATATAAAAAAAAGAAAGAAATTTAAAAAATGTATGCAAAAGTGAAAACAATGTAGAAGATAAACTCTAAGTTTGATCACATGCAGCTTAATTATAACACTATTGGAACCAGTGCTGCTGTTTCCTGTCTTTTCTTTACTGGATTTTCAGTCAGTTTGAATTGTTAAACTCAATTAGTTTCTTGGATTTCAGTCATTTCATAACTTTCCTTTCCCTTTTCTAAATTTCACAGTAGATATGTATATTTAGGCTTATGCACTACACCACTACACTAAAACTGTCTCCATCCACAAACCTTCACTGTTTTAATTGCTTTCGATCAAATTTCATTTTTTTTCTTGGCAGAATGAAATTAACTCAACATCTTTTCAAACTCATTACATTTCAGCCACAGCTGGCATCTTTAATTTGCATTACCCAAGCTGTTGTGAAGGCCAAATTTAATTTGATTTTAATAATTTAAAAAACTCTCCAGTAGAAATCCCATAAGAAAAGATTTTTGAGTGGGTTTATAAGGCCCTGTATGGCCTGGGGAAAGGAGAGCATATATCACAGCTTCCTAAAGCTGCTGGGCCCTGACAGGAGAGAAGAAACTAACAGTAACTCACCTGGGGAAAATAAGCTGTCTCCTGGCACATATATATGAAATCTAACCTTTTCAATGGAAAACCCTATTCTATATCATTACAGCCTGACCTGACGCCCCTCCTACAATATTATACTACACAAAATCAAATATTTTTTTCTACTGATTTCTTGAAAATTAACACATTTATAAGAAACTACCTTCAGTTTTCAAGGAATCTGGCATACATTTTATGCGTTCAGGATAAGGAAATGCAGTGGATATGCTTGCATAATTTGGCAATTCATGATGAGAAAAGGCATTTTTAAAGACTTTCTTTCTACAGCATCTAAGTGCTGCCTGCAACAGAACAATATACAGTGAATAAGGGGAACATTTGTTAACGGCCCCCTGGAAATCACAACCCCTTTCTAATAATACTGATCCTGTAAAGCAGTTATCATACAAATAAAGTGGCTGAGCCAAAGTAAAACTAAAAGATACAGTCATCAGGACCTTGGAAGCCATTCTGGTGATGACATTTCTTGTACCAAACTACAGAGGCACAGTAGTTCTGTTTTCTGAAGACTGTATCTGTGCGGATGGGGACATAGAGAAATCATTGTGTCTTGATGACTGAATCACTGATGTGTCTTAAGTTTAGAGCGATGATCAGAGCACTGAGGTCTCACAGAGTCCTGAGGGGCAAGCTGCTTCAGAAAAAACAGAGTCAACAAATGGCATGTTGGAAAAAAACAAATTGTGGATTTCTCAAATCTGAGAGTGAAATGGATTTTTAAAAAAGCAAACAACTCACATAAAACAGATTTCATCTCGGGTGTATGGCGCGCACGTCTTTTTTTTTGTAGAAGTATCACTACATACGATGCTACTTTAGCTAATTAATCACATCTGATACTGCGTGATGTGTCGTGACCACACTGTATAGGAGCCATGTGTGACCGGCGCTAATAGTAAGCTGTCGTCTTGTTGAAGCAGCAGCAGCTGTAGCAGCTACACTTACAGGCCTGCTGCTGTCTAATTGATGGATCATTTTGCTCTTAATTTGACCTCCTAAGGCTGGTAATGCCAGGCTGTTCCTCACCGTGTACAAGCTCTTACTGTGCTATTATACCCTTTGGAAAAAAAAATATACAGCTGCTCTTCACTGAAGAACTCGTACAAGCTACTCTAAACATTATACACAGATCCTGTCACAGCCATGTAAACCTCTGAACCTTTCTGTTTCTTCGCGATAATGACTTAGATTTAAGTGCCTTCCAAGAGTCCCAGAGGACGTGCTGCCTCTGTCATATTTGGGGTCCCCTCTGAGACTGTGGGGAGCAGAGAAGGGGTGAGAAGACTCACATCCAACCACTGAGAGAAAAATGGACTCTGTCACTCAGTCAATTCATTCAAAATGCCAATGTGTTATTGATTGCGCATCTCTTGCCCCCGCAACGCTTCTCCCCATCTGATCAATATTATCATTATCCTAATTATGCTGTGGGTTAGCTCTCGGCCCCCCGTGAACTGATGGTCCCTATTAAGAGAGAGATATGCTGGCACTTGGAGGTGAGGTGAGTAGAGAGAGAGGGCGGGAGAGGAGAAAGAGGAGGGGAGTCTTGCTGTCGCTTGCTGAGAGCAGCTGGAGGGCCTTGGCAGCGGGAGAGGGCACGACCCGGCAGGGACCACAGTGACACGCCGATGGAAATTTTTACTACTGCTGTCAGGCTCATTTGTATATTTTATTAAGCAGTTACAGATGCTGCGCTGTTTTACTGCTGCGTATCCAGCTCAGCCGGGTGGCACTTTTACCACAGTGCTTTATGGTCAGATTATCTGTAATATCAAGACTTTAATGATGACATGGAATTACTCCTGCTTCAATTATGGAATTTCAGCGCGCTGACAATCACAGAAGACGGCATTGCATGGCTAAATACACTGTAGATCAGTAATGTTTGGTCTAAGAGGCTGTTATTGTGTCACTTTTGGCACTACAGGACTTTTTTTTATTCTTCTACCGACACAATAACACCGACACATCACACCTCCGAGATGAAATGCTGTGATGCGAATGAAGCAATGAGAGGCAAAAGAACATATCTGAACATGCCCGAATCAATGTCTAACCCACATATTCTACGCCACTAAATTAGTATAGCTTTATTTTTTTATACATTTTTTTTTCTGTTTTGTTTTAATATCCTCAAACCCAGTAGCTATAAATGTAAAAGGAAAAGAAACCGAAACCCCTTTCCTCTTTTTTTCAACCTGAAGCTAGTATTTCTTCTTAAGTTTAACTTGTAATATTATTAGTAGTAGTTTGTAGTATTAGTATTATTAATACTATATATTACTGTTCAGAACAATAAAAATGTTTGGTCCTTTGGTCCCTTAGGGGTGAAAGATTTGCAGTTCTACTGTTGCTAATGGAAACCTCAGTGACCTCCAAGAGTCATAGTTCTGCGCTTGCTGAGAGACGGTGAAGGAATAAGAGAAAGAGGGAAAGAGAAAGAAAGTCTGTCAGTGGACGTATAGAATAGCTTCTTTTTTTTCCACTGTTTTTCTTGATCTTCAAGTTTTAACCCTCATTTGTCCAGTACAGTAAAAGCCACAAGCGCCTCTTTCCTTATATATATGTGTATATAATATGTATATAGAAATCTATTTGTTGTTGCTGCTTTTTTGTTTGTTAGTTTGTTGCTTAATTAACAATTCAAGTCTCAACAAGAAAAAGTTCTGTTGTTCAGTCTTATCACATCTTTTTTCAGTTTTTTTTTCTTCTCGTCTTTCTTGCACTGTGCCATCTGTTACTGTTAAGTCCCCCGGTGAAGCGCCTCCTCCTCTTTCGCATCTTCTTTTTCTGCCGTAACCTATATCTTCATAAGTAAATGCTGATATGTCTTCAAAAATTCGTTATGTGTTGATTTTTTTAAAACATATTTTGCTTTCAAAGAAAAAAAGTTTAACTCCTCCAAGATATCTTCATGTGTCCTCTAAAACCTGAAAAACAGAAGAAAAGGGCAATTTCAGATCTCACTGCTCATTAAATTGTCATTTCAAAAGATCCATTTCTTTAAACTGTGGATAGTTCAATATGGCTCTATTATATCAGTGTAATGGTCTGGAGAGAGCTAACCCACACTGGCACACCAATCAATCTTTGTCAATCACCATGATGACAGATTTTCCCATAATTAATACTCCAGCTGTGCCGCATATGCCTGCAGATACTAAAACTCTAGAGACATTAAAATATTTAGCTTTACATTCACTGAACAGGAAGTGTATTTAATACTTAAGATAAGAAAACTAAAATCTTAAATCAAAACGCCAGACAAAATCAACTGACGCTCTTTAAACCACAGATAAATCTTCACTTTCAACAGAAACAATATTGAGGATCTACATCTTGAACCAGTGACGGGGCTCACCTGTGCTGCTGCAAAGAATACTGAAGGTAGGCTGTGTCAGTAAGGGCGGCTGGCATCCTTCGGTCTCTTTAGCTGGACTTTCAACCTCTTCATCCCAATCTGAAAGCCATTCATGGCTTGAATAGCTGCCTGTGCACTAGCAGGGTTGTCGAAGCTCACGAAACCTGTGAAAACGTACAAGTTCATCAGCCCTGTTGAGAACGTGGGCTGATCTAGAGAGCACCACCCCAGCTTGGTGTCTAATACTGTCGGATTTAACACACTGATTTAGAATAATTCTAAAAATCATGTGTTAAAAAAATGGAAATTAACACACATAATTTTATGATGTTATGGCCACATTTTATACTAAGTGATTAATGAGGTCAATGAAAAAAGACATGTATTTGGAAAGATGAAGAATATCTTAATTTGGGGCAAATACTGACATAATTATTTGAAATTAAATCAGCATATAATTCTGCCACACCTTAAAAGTCTCCAAGCCACCCTCTTGCCACCCCATGAACATTTCCTATGTGCCTAAACAAGCTTTAGTCAATATTTAGAAGTAATATCTATTGCAAATGAATCGACTGGCAGTCAGAAAGAACTGCTGGAAAAAAAGATGAGAGATATTAACAGATGGCCTGTCTATCTCCGGAAGGTGTCTAGATGGCGTTGTTGAGGCAGGTAGCACCTTTTGGCTGCCTAGCAAAATCTCAGTGCCTGTGACAGGGTGCTATGAAGTTGTCTTAAACCAGAGTTTAATATGTGTACACCAGCGTGTTAGAACTGGACTTTGATCAGCTGTGTCTAGTTGCACAACTTCTCATCAACTTTTGTAACAGCTTAAATAACCAACTCCAGATGCAACAAGTGTGGGGGTGTTAACTGTCACAAGGCATCACTCTTTGATGTTCTCTCAGGGTTGACAGTTTTTGTCTGAAAGAGATGTAATATCAAGCTGTTCTGTGATTCTTTCCTGAGACATGTAGAGGAGTGTGAGATATACAGGATTTCAAAGGTTAGGAAGGATGCAATGGAAGGATGATTTTGAGGGTTTATTGGAGCATGAAGAGATATAATAATAATAATAATAATAATAATAATAATAATAATAATAATTGTTACTTTTGCAATGAAACTGTTACAAAGAGGCGCAGTTAGGAAATCTATGATTTACTGGGTCTGCAGGTGCTTTCTGTAAAAAAAGTTCAATAACACAGACCAATCTGTGAACTGTATCAGATCAGCAGATTCCAGGCCATTGGTAATCAATCATGATCAGGTCACACCTATAAATATTTTCTGTTTTTAACTTTATAATACCGCTTTCAACATAGCCTTCTGACATCCCTAGAAAGCACCAAAATATCAAAATGAATGAGCACAAGTCATTGTGCAAAGTAGTTCGAGCAAAACAAGAGCAAACATAGTTCATCATGAGGAGACAAGTCTGCCGCAGACACAAAAACCCCTCAGTGCCTTTCCCCAAGATACACCCCTCCTTAAATCTATGCTGAACATCCTGTTTTCATCATGTGTAAAAATAAAGCCTTGAGGATCCAGTGACCAGAAACTGCAGTGGAGTGTGTCTCCGCTTGATGCGCTCCCCTGTGTCTGTGGTGTCATTAGGAACAGTCGATGACCCGTGAAAAAACAGCAGGAGCCTCTCCACGTCCACAGCCACCTGGGAGAGATGTCTGCCTGGCCTGCTTGGCTCTGGGTTGGCCCATTAGGGCGAAGGCTGGGCAAGCGCAGAGGGAGATGAGAGGAGGGCTGAATGTGAGTCTGAAGAAAGTAGAGGCAGGGAAAGGAGGTGACCTCCTAACCCACCATCAGGTTAACACATTCGGGCTGGGAGCGGAGATGAGATGGAGAGGAGATGCAGGCTTAGAGCTCTAAGCCCTCCGCTCAGTGCTGTCACACATTACAAGTGTGCTTCCTCTCTTTCTCTCTGTTTCCCTGTCTTTTGCACACCATCAATCTAAGTTTATCCCCTCTTTCTCCTTTCTAGATTAATTACACCAGTGTGCTCCCTCCTTCCCCAGGCCTAACATTATGTTGTAAATGCATAGTGTATAAGTCAATACTGCAAATAGCTCTTCTTTCATGAATTTATATGTTATTAAGTCCCCCCAGGGAGACAGGACTGGCGATCAATTTTGCCCAGGGTTCTGCGGTTCCCTGAAGTGAAAACAAATGCTGATCCATAATTGTCCTTTGCCTTCCTTCCCCCCGCCGCCATCCCTGCCCACCTCCTCAAAGTTTGTATAAGCCCTGAGGCTTGTTGGTGTGTGTAGGCTGACGGAGCTAAATGGGAAGGGGGAGCATGGAGGAGTGTGAATCAGCCTCAGCAGTGAGGGTATTGACAGATATCGGGGTTACAGAACGGTGATGTGGATGCTGATACAGCACCTCAAGGTTTACAGGTCACACAGCCGCCAAACAGAAACAAGGACATGGGCTCTGATCGACTGCATCATGGCTAGTTTGGCCACGATGTATTCCTTTTTTTTCCCTTCTACAGCACTGATGCCAAAACACAACAGTCATCAAGATGCAAATTCAGGTCAGTCAGTCAGGGGTAAGATCATTCAGTCCTCTACGTCTGGCTACTGTCAAATGTCATCAAAATCTACAGCACCTCAACAAATGTTTATTGAACAAATGTCTATTGTTTGGAGAGCAGTATGAAAAGAAACCTTCCATTATTGTGAAAATGTAACTTACACTATGAAGCTTCACGCCTTAGCTGTGAGCTTTTACACAACACCCACAAATGTCTGAATGTTTTGGAAAACTATGAGAGAGCTGACTGCAAACACTAATTTTGTTTTGTGCAAGGCTCAACATTCATTATACATTTCCATCGAATGTATACAATCAAATAGGTAGTGAGGTAATTTCCCCCCATGTTTTTACATAATAGAAATGATCCAAATAGATGATTATGTCAATTACAAGGACATATAATCAAGCCTTATGTAAGAGGAAGTTGGTAGAAATGTGCAGAAAAAGTCACATATTTTTATACAGTGTATTGTGTGTTGTGGACTTGATGGCTGTGTGTGAGTGGCAGTGAGTAACTCACCGAAGCACTTGCTCTGGTTGGTTGCCCGGTCCATGAAGACCTTAGAGGAGATTACAGTGCCGAAGGGCAGAAACATCTGCATGAGTTCATTGTCTCCAAACTCCTGTGGCAGGTGGTAGATAAACAGGTTACAACCCTCCGGACCTGGATACAGAGAGAGAGAGAGAGAGAGAGAGAGAGAGAGAGAGAGAGAGAGAGAGAGAGAGAGAGTTTGATGGGTGAGGGATAGAGAAAGACAGCTGTGAATTTGTCATTTTGATCTATGGAGTCTTGCATGTCGACTAAATCAAGATAAGTGGAAATAGATTTTCAGGACTTCTGTGACATCAGTGATAAAAACAGAGCTGAAAAAAAAAAAACAATTGAAAAGTTTTTGCTTTGATCTGCTGATACCGTACAGATATTGAGTGTATTTAAAATTTCTATTTACATTCAACCAGCTTTTCAGATTAAATGTGGATATAAAAGCCTAAATCTAGATGATAGATCACATTCTCCAACTTGCAACTATCTATCATGTGATGTGCTGCTTCTTTGGCAGCTGCCATTTGCTCCTTATTTTATTTCTTTCCCTATTTTATTATTTATTTATTTTTCAAGAAAACAAACCTGGCATTCTATCATACTTTTCACACCTATGTTATGTTTTTTCTAAAATTGAAAATTGAAGACATGACAAACACCAAAATAACTAATATTACTAATTCACTGTAAATTGCACAACTTCAGTGCGACCTGAATTAGTTATTAATTTGTAAACCTGCAGCAGGTGTGAGTGGAAATCTTTCACACTATGACTTACTTCATCTTCAAGTAAGATGCAACAATTTCTATGTAACTACTACTCTTTACATTTTCATTAGTTTTATTTCTTCCATCTGGGTTGCAGTGCCACTGTTCTCACAGCTGGGGATTATATTATACAAGCTTTAATTATTACTAAAAAGAATGGGCCTTTGTAAACAATATACAACCTATTTTTAAGATGTACAGTATAATGTAGTCTGATTAAAATTGTTCCATCATCCTCATGCTTTATATATCTATTACCTAAGATGAGATGTCTGTTCTCTCAGCTGTTCCACTCTATTTATCTATTACAGAGAATGAGATGTGTACAGTATTGAAGTAATATTCTTCTCTCAACCTCACATTCTTCATATATGTATTACACAGAATGAGGTGTGTACAGTGCTAAAGTAATATTGGTCTCTCATGCTTGTCTTCTTTATGTGTCTATTACACGGGATGAGATGTGTGAAGTGTAAAAGTAATAATGTTCTCTCACCCTCACCTTCTCTCTGCTGCTGCTGCTGGATGACCTGGGGTGGTTGGGGCAGTGTCTGGCCAATGGGAGTCAGCGTGGTGGCTGGGTAGATCGCTGCAGAGAGGTAGAGAGAGGGAGAGAGAAATGACAGAGAAAGGGTGTAAAAGAGAGAGAGAGGAGCATAAAACTGGGGATCCCATGGAGAATGATGTCAAGGATGCTTAAGGTCGATCACAGCATATAACAAGTATAACATGTGTAACCAAAGGCTCTCTGATGTTATGTTCTAAGGCACTGTCCTATGCTATCTGAATACATACAGCCTCACACTCATACTGTAGTTACCTTGCAGTAATTGTCCCCTAGCTGCTACACATTTAGCATTTACGGCATACTGTAAAATCTGAGAAATACAGCATGGTAAACAAAGCATTCCTGTCTCACACCTGTGTATTGCTGTACTCCAGTGAAGGCTTGCTGGAGAGTGTCAGCAGCGGTGGGGCTCTGGGTGGAGTAGGGCGGCAGGCCGTTGGTGTACAAAGTCTCCACAGCAGGGTGTCCGTTTGGCTGATGAGGGATGCCGGTGAATCCGTTGACGATGGGCGTGACGATGCTGGGCACGGCAGAGGTGGTGATGTTGGCTGGTGGAGAACTGAGGCCTGCTGGGAAAATGGTTTACTGTTACTGGATCGTGAGTACTCTATCTACATACATTGCTCTACATAGACATAGACATGCTTTCCTATTGTGTGCACAGAGTAGGCACTCGCAAGAACCCCAGCACAAGCAAGACCCACAAACACACACACACACACACACACACACACACACACACACACACACACACACACACACACACTTGCACAAGCTCGTGACTATGAGCTACACTGCATCTCCTCTCTAATGCAAGGACACGGGCGCGACGTGAGTCTGTCACATATCCTCCGTTTGTCGTGACACATCCTGCAGGATAGCTGGGAAGTCAACCTGTGAAAAATGAGCCTGTCCGTAGTGTTTGTGCGATACCCTGCTGGCTCCTACTGCTCAAGATGATGAAACCACTATGCAACTTCTGAGAGAAAAAAAGAACAGAAAAAAGGAAAAAGATCTAGACTAAATAGCAGGAGATTACAGAGGGAGATCTGCTTGAACGAGCAGGTAGCAAAAACACAAAGATGCCTCTCACTTTTTTACATCATAAAAAAAAACAAAATAACAACAGTTGGCAGTTTGACAAATGGGCGGGTCATAACATATATGGTACACGCCTGAAAGGCAGCTGCAGGATGGTTCATGAGTGGAATTGAAATTGGATGCTAGCTGTCCTCTCTCATTCAATGCATTTTAAAAGGACCCTCCTTTGGAAAGTGTTTCCAATTATGCCGGGAACATCAAAGTACCCATTTTGAGCAGAATCTCACTGTGTGATGGTCCCTCTAAAAGGGCTGCTCCGTGGCAAAGCATCCAAGCTCGTTGAAGTACAGCTCCCCTGAGGACCACCTCTCAATCTGGAAACCCTCGTCGCGATTGGACAGAAAGCCCAGGTTGTCACGGAAACCCTCTAGCATGCCATATCCCCACAATCTGGTGCCTGAGTAAAGATCCTCCTGTGAGAGGTGGTCCAGATAGGGTAAACAATCACATCCAGTATACACATAACATGCGCTGAGGTTTATGCTAATAAATTGTAAATATGCTGTACATCACACGCTGAAACCAACCCACCACTGAGTAATATTATCTACATATCCATATGGAATTGCTTTTCTTATTCTTTACCTACATTTTATTTTATTTACCTCCTCTCCTCTCCTTTCCTTATCCCTCTCCTCTCCTTTACTTCTCCCTCTCCTCTCCACGCCTCAGCATTTAAGTCATGAGGAGGCTGACAGTCAGGCAGGCAACTGCAGTGACCTGGGGAATTGCCCGGGTCCAGTGAGAGCTGTTGTGTCTTTTGCACTGGTTTCCTTTTTTTTTTAAGCCTCCCCACGATTGCTTGTTTCCTGCGGAGCTGTGATGAATTAGACTGCAGCTTCAGCCCATTCTCCTACCAGGACCCAGGAGACTGCCGCTCCTATTCTGAGGGCTAGAGACAGCTAGTCTGCTCAGGCCACACGCACTCTACTGTACCGCCAGATAATGCACCCTCTCCATCATCAGGCAAATTCATTTTCCAAGGCTTAGCAGTGCTGTGGGAGTGTGCGTCTATGTATGTGTAGCAGTTGTAGTGATAGTAGAAGTACCAGTGGTAGTAGTAGGTGGTAGTGTGGACCCCTTACATGCAATTACATACGCTCTAAGGTCAGCAGTTGGACATGAAATCTGTTGTAAAGGAGAACACATGATAGAAGTAAGAGATCGGGGGCCACCAAGTTCAGTCAGGTTATCATGCTGGAAATATCACGGCACAGAATAAGCATAAGAATCATAAGTGTAATAAAGACAGCATTGATACTGTAGTGAGGCGAAGCTCAGAAACATTTATACACAATAACTAAGTTAAACTGAATGGTATAAAATATTACAGTAGCTGGGTTATTCATGTATTGGATAACAAAATGGGGTTATGATATAAGGAAACGACAATAAGCAACACCATGCCCAATAAAACAATGATAACATGCCATTCATGTAGCCTAGTCGTCATCTTTATCATCACTGTCACAATGACACAATATCCAACATGAGCAGACCCTGAGAATGTTCTCCTCAGCTGAAATGGGCAAGTATTTCCTACCATCCTGAACTAGAAAATAACAAGACATTTTCATTTTATAGCTCAGTGGACATTCAGTTCTTGCATTGTGGGAAATTGTATTCATAGCCTGTTTATAATGCACACACAAGAATGCAGATATACATGTGTGTGCTGTGTCTATTGGGCTGTAATAATGACATGTTGTTTCCCATTCTGGCACGGGTGAATACGAAGCTATGGGAGAGCAGATTACATATTCTACACAGCTCTTAACTATCACTTCTCTTATTCTCTTATTACTGCAAGAGGTATACACTGCTTAACAGTATTTATATGTGTATGTCAAATACACTATATTTATGTCATGGAAGCAGAATTCATATTCATATTCTTGCAGGCTGTTTCTTAGAGGGGAAAACTGTTGATTTGCTCCTTGTGATGATTGCTTCATGAAATAAGTCCTCACATGTGACAGAAGTATTTATTATGCTAATTACACATCAACAAGGAATGCTATACCCATACTGGAGAGTGCAGTCATTACCAGCACAAGGACTGTCTTTCGCTGGAGCAAGAAATAAGCACTCAAAACAGATGCTTTCATCTAACCGATTTAAAATGTGATGTATTAAGACTCAAAGTCTGGTCCTTAAAGTTTGAATAATACATCTGAATGTGAAGGGCACCTTTTCTACAAACCAGTGGGTATACCAAGAAAAACATACTGACTTTGAATACTGCAAGTCAGATTACTAATTCATATTTGTGAAGCAAATAAAATGTGAAAGCACTTGCAAATGAATGTGTTTTATATTATTTTAGATATTTGACTGCACATCAAAATATAATTTTAAATATGACTAAGGCATAGTATGTTCTGCTTACCAATAATGTAATTCATAACTGCTTGTAGGAGTCCCTCTTCTACTTGAAGGTCCTGAAAACATATTTTTTTCAATAAGCTTCTTACTATGAGTGATGGACTCATGAATACACACATTTCTGCCATAGGAATCTGATGACAGTTGGTGGTTTGTCAGGTTGTCAGTCCTGATGCTGTAGTTTAGCTGAGTTTTTTTTTTTTTACTGTTAAACTCAATAAATAATATCTGTTTTTACTTTGTTTTTGCTTGTTTAGTAATGATTCAATGAGAAACATTTAAGTCAAGTCAAGTTTTCAGAAAAGTTTTAATTAAACACTTATTGCCATTAAAACAACAATCGATGTGCACTACAGCCGTACTCCATGATTTCGAGGGATTTCTGCTTGGGTAAATTAGCATTGGTGCCTTATTTAATTATTTAAATCTCATGTATCATCTTCACTTGTTAATGTTTGTGAGAATACACTTGTATGCTGATGATGTAACTCTGTACAGCCATGTCAGGCAGCCTCTTGCTAAAGTGGAAGCTAGCCTTAACACATGAATAGATAAAAAAAACTTTGGGATGCAAATAAAAACACATTTGAACCATTAAAATACAAATTCCACAATGTTCTTGACAACACTGAAGAATTCCATCAAAGCTGGAACCACACCTCAATGATGTCCACCTAGCACTGTCTGGTGAAGAGCTCAGCCTTCTGTCAGGAACAATGAATGAATGAAATTCCAAACACCTAATCATAATCTACATCAGGGCAGGTCTGAAGATGGTAGCATTGAAGAGAGTTGCAGCTAAACTGCACATATAGAGTCAATCCACAATCTATAAAGTAGTATAGAGTCTTTTCCATGTACAATAGTCACCTTAATAATAGACAAAAGCCATAAAAAAGTATTGGAGTAAACAAAGCCACTACGTGTTGTCCCTGCTGATAAAGTCTTGCCTGAGATGCACACCAACCACTGGATCTTCAAACTATGCTCCCTGCACCACAGGCACTGCACCACTCACCTATCCACAGCCAAACTACACCACGCTCTCCACCTTCCAGCCTCCAGGAGGCTCACCTCTGGTCAAATGTGGAATAGCCTCCCTGAGTGTATTGGACAGATGAAGACAATGGTATCCAAGCCTTTATGGGCAGAGTATACACACCCCTAAAATACATATTATTTCAAGTGACATTAACAATAATTATAAGATATCTATTTGTCTTTAGCTAATTTTAAAGGGGACAACATGAATCATTAACCTTCAGTATTAAATACAACATAGGGCAATATACTGAATACTAATAGGTCTCTAACACTGCCACTCTAGAGGCTAATGTACATGTATTTGTGTGTGACTTTCAGATCCCAGAGTAAACTAGTAGTGAAGCTCTGCTGCTGGCGTGAGGCTCATTTTTGCTTGTAAATAACAGCACTGGTTTCGACCAAGAGCTGTGGCTATGCTCTCTGAAAGTACCCAGCAACAGGGATACCTTTTCTGTCACTGTTCACTTTCACGCCTGGGATTTGGTATGATTCTGATGCAATAGGCCTGATTCAAACTGAAACCTTCTGTGTAAGTGGACATGTTTCTAAGTTGATATCTTTGCCCTTGAAGATAAAATTATTGTAAAAGTAATGTTTGGAAGAGTAAAGAGAGCAACTACAGTGACTACATGTTCAGTCTGAGATGGAGAGGTCACACCATCAATTAAGACACACAGGTGTTCATTTCCCCAGCTGTTTCATCTGGCTCTGAACAGAACTGTGTTGTTCCAAATAGCTTGGATATGATATGTCATTCATAGCAGCAAATCTTTAGGGTTTGGCATTGATGCAGTGTTGTTGTTTGTTTTATTTTTTAGCAAGTTAACGTCCAACCTTACCTGCCCTCAGCACTTGTTTGTATTAGAATTGGTCATTAAATATAAAATGTCTGCATGTATGTGTGTGTCGTGGAGAACAGGTGCACATATTGAGAGAGATCACTATGTCAAACAGCTCATTAGTTTCATGGTGTTTGTCACCATGGAAGTGCTCTGCATTAATGGTGTAACCATGCTCGAATCCAGCGGGGGTGTTGTGGCACATCCAGCCTGCCTGTGAGTGGGTTGTCTCTGGCTGTGGAGCATCTGCAGTATATTTTGTGTAATATGTACTTGTGCATGTACATCTTCAGTGTAGAGCAGCACTATGCAACAGAACATTAGAGTGACTTTGATTACACACTTCTCACATCCTAACAAAGCATGCTTGACACGACGTTCCTCACCACATATACCCAGCAGGATCCGCATCTCTCTCAATTTCTCCCTTCCTCTCCTCCCTCACCCTCTTTATCTCCCTGTCTCTCTCTTCCTGTTACTCCAGCTCTGCCTCTCTCTCCCTTGTTTTGTTTAACTTTTATTTCTTCTGCAGTGCTCAGGGAGCGGCACCTGGTGAACATTATTTTCAAAAAGCATCATCATGCATCATTGTAAGGATACATGCTCTAATCAGCTGAACCATCTGGCAAACGGCTTATGCACCATCAAGCTTAAATGCTTTGCATCTGTTGATCAAATGGATGTCTCATTGTTTTCAGAGTAACACCCTTAACCTCTGAGCCTCTTTGTACTTTGGCTTGCTGTCACAAACAAGATTTTTTATGCTGGAGAGGTTATACTTATCATTTAAATAAAAGATTAATGTCACACATTTACCTCAAGACCAGGCAGCGTTTTTCGTTTATTAGGCTACTATTGGAACTTAATGTTAATGCAGAGTGGTGTGTGTAATTTAGAAAGGCAGTAGTCTAGCCATCAGTTGGCAATTGCTCTCATTTTGGAAGGAAATGGGACATTAACCTTTCTACCTTTTATACATTTGACATAGCTGCCAAATGCCAGAATTTATAGATTTGTTTAGCGCTCTAATTTGGTTGATGAGACAACTTAATGCATAAATTACACCTCTGTTGAAGCACAGAAGCACTCTGCTCCCAGACCCTAAAAACAGATTCTGATATTAAAATGAATTATTCCACTGACTCGTGGCAGACATCCTACAGTCTCTCAGTAGTGTCAGTCTCTTGGCCTACTTATACAGACAGCCTTGCCAGTAATGTTATGTATTCCTTCAATGAACTCTAAATAAGTCATAGCCACAAGTGTGAAAAGGGAGAGAGAAAATAGCTGTGTATACCAAAGCAGCAAGCTAGACTACAACTCCTGCAGCTGCTGGCAGACACACTCAAATTAATGAATGAAGAAAGGGGAAATAAAACATTTCATATTCATGATGAGCCTTGAAAATTCACCAAAGCCATGCTTTCTCTCAACTATTAATAATATATTACATTCAATAATAAAAGGTAATCAGTCGACCGTAGCTGATAGAGAAGTGTGTCCGAAAGCAGATAAATGGCACCACTTCATACACACACAACTCACAAACTTAGAGGCACTCAGTTCTCTTCCTTTCACCCTCCTCTGTCTCTGTTTCAGAAGGACAAACATAGTTTTTCTTTGCCTACGCCAAGCTGTTAGCTCCTGGCGTTGCCAACTGATATGAAACTGATTTAAATTTTCCTATACAGAAGTAGTTTTGTTTGGCTGATACATAGTATATAAAAAGCAATATTTTCTTTGGAGTAAGGCACTGATTTTGGTTTGTGAGAGGCTACAGTTCAATAGAGACACAAAAGCAGCAAACAATACAATCAACACACACACACACACACACACACAAACAGAGTTCCTTGCAATACAGTTGCACTATCTTTCATCAGCACTATTGTGTTGCAAAATACAGGTATGCATGCAGAACACAAAGTTCTGAATTGCCATACTGTCAGTGCTTTACCCATCAAAATAAGCGGCTTCTCAGCAAGACTGAGCTCCGCTTTTAATCACTGTCTCTGATTGATTATGCCCGCCCAAAAGTGCACATTTTGCACTGAAAACATCACCGTGAATATTTGACAAATGGGTCTCCTCTCTAGATATATTGCCTGATGTTGAAAATTATTGCAGATGTACTGTACACATACAGCATGTGTGTCCACTGGCATGTTCCATCATCTCACACTGTGTCCATTTGGCTTGAGGTGGAGACATGCGTGACTAATAAGCATCCTGTAGCATTGATTTCCACCCCTGGTCTGCTGTCTGTCCTGTTTATTTTAATTCAAGGGGCTGTTGTGAATTACTATAAGTAAAAGAGAACTGAACAGTACAATAAAACTGTCCTTTCCTCGTGTTTTTTGTTTGTGGATGCAGAAGTGAACAGAATACCAATTTAAGAGAATATTTTTATTCCCCACAAGAACCACAGTGCAGAGAGAATTTGATATTATGGAGTAAGTTTGTAAGAAGCTGGGTTCCTATGATGGCTATAAAGAAAATCTAAAATAGGCCCTGTTGCACTGATGGCGGTTCTCTCTCTCAGACTGATTGGTTTAAAGTTACCAAAGTCATCACCTTAAAAACTCAATACTGCAGTGTTGACAAAGTAGGTGAGCGAGGCACAACAAAGACTTGGATACTGTATTATTTATTTCGGCTCATGCTTTTGTTGAGCAGAGAATCTTGAAGTTTCCTCTGTCTCAAGGAAAATGAAGCACTGCTGAATAAGCAAATGTTATGCAGTGGGTAGGTATTTCAAAGTCCTTCCTTTTCCTCTGTAATGTATCTGCATAGGAGGTGTTTGTTATGGAAAACAAAACCAACTGCATGCAGATCATGCACAAGTGCTTCAAAGCACAAGGTCAAAATACTACAGGGAAATTAGCGTCTTATCTGTAAACTTACTTATTGATATTCCTTATTCTGCTGCTACTATCCCCAAATAACATAAACATGCAAATCCCATTGAACATATTTTTTTATATTAGTCCCTCTTTCTCTCCAGTGGAATAATTTTGGATTACCAGTAAGCAGGCACCCTTTCTCATGGCCTTGCTGCAGCTCTAGTTTTTTTTATTTTCACGCTGTGCAAACAGGCACACACACACACACACATACTCACACACAAATATTCATACAGACATTATCAAAAACACAAGTTGACCTACAACAACCCCACTGTACTGTACGTGTACAAGTACACACACCCACGCAAAACCTACACACACTAACAGTAAGACATTAACACAGGCATAAAAGGGACCCTGCTCGTTGCATCATCCTAAATCCACAAACACACACATACAGAGCCACACACACAATACACACACACACACACACACACACACACACACACACACACACACACACACACACACATACACATATACACAGAAACACACTCACAAGAGGAAAGGGAATAAAACTAATTGCTCACCCAGGGTTTGATGAAACTCACCCGACACCGGGGTCATAGGGGTGGGTGGGAGGCTGTTGATGTTGAGCGCCCCCATCTGGTGGATCTGTGTGGCGGGGAAAGCCACGCTAGGCGTGAGGTAACCTCCGTGGCTTGCTGCCATGATGGCTGCCTGCTGCTGCATGAGCTAAAGAAGAGGGACACGGAGAGATGGGTAGAAGGAAAGGAGGGTTGGATGGGGTGTGTGCAAGAGAGCAGGAGGGAGAACGGGGTGCGAAAGAGGTGAGGGGAGGACAGATGGTTAATGAAAAATATAGTAAGTTGGGAAGGAGTCAGACAAAGACGGGAGAAGGCGAGCGAGAGAGCAGGAAACATAGCAAGGGTAGAACAGAGGGAGGGATGTATGTTGAGGTTGATGGATGGATAGTGCATGGGAAGTACAGAGAAAGTAGAGCGGAATAAAAGAAAGGGAAGAAAAAAGAAGCCTGTCAACCTATGTTTAGTGAATCTGTCTATCCTCCCAGCAGGAAGCCTGTCACCAGCTGCAGAAACGATTTAATAGCTGTCTGTTGGGCTCATACAAATCAAGGCATTGACATGTGCACATTATCTCTGTGCACAGGGAACAGGCAAAGTTTGTAGAAGTGTTGCGATGCTTTTTCCTCACAATTGTCAAACTTCACAATACTCTGTTTGGCTGTATAGAAATCCTACAGACGGCTCACACTCTTTCCCCTGGACTTAGCTCTATTTTTTCTGATGTATTTCTAATGACTGTTGCTTGTAGCCTGACACACATCCAGAGTTCAGAGTTTGCTTTGTTATATAATTTATTTGTAAACCTCCACTAGGCCTGTGTCTGGGCTGGTGTTAAAAAAAAGGTGGCATTTTGCAAACAGATTACATTCAGCGTTGGAACACAGTCTTTGCCACTGAAAAGTTGCTGTAGAGACCTTCTTCTTGTTAAACAACATTATGTGTTGGTAGGTAGAACTGCACTCTGTGTTGAGGTGTCACTAAATCCAGACCCTGAGTCATTAAAGCAATATTTTTAAAGCAGGCGTAGCTAGCAACTCAGATTCCCGAGCATGTTAGTAATACAGTATCTTAGTCAGAAAATTGCAGTGACAGTCGATTTTCACCCAACGGACAATCCCACAAAGAGATACAATCAATAGCCTTTTATTCACTCTGCGTTTCTACTTAGCATCAACTGAAAAGTGAGAGCTGAAACTATTTTCGATCAAATGCAGCCCACAGAGTGTTTATTCATATGCACAGGATATGCTCACATGCATCGTTGCCCTGCACTGCACTCACACACACACATACACACACACACACACACACACACACACACACACACACACACACACACACACACACACATATGCACAACATGCATGAAAAGCGACAGAGACTATTTGAGTTTCCGCACTCAGCTTAAATTCTCCTTGTGCAAACCACATGCTGAATGCCTAATTCAGAAGAAAAACCATCATTGTACAATGGCTTTTGCAGCTTTTGAACCATTGGGTTTATCTAGGGAATAAACCATCTTTTGCAGGCTATCGAGCCACGCAGACCGTTGTGGTATAGAAATACAAACATAGCTGGACCAACCTCTTACCCTTGTCTTTGCGTCTGTTTAATACTGCATAGCTTCTATGTGTCAGGGGAGCTGCTGATGGCCATGGCCTGAGTATGACTCGTATAAGCAGAAATCAAACTCCTCTGCCGCTGGCACTAATGCTAATGACGATGTTGTGAGACAGTGGAGGTATAGAATGCCACTCTGCTTGCATTTGCATGGGGACCCTGCGACGGAAAACCCAATTATTTTCCCTCAGTGCCCCTGTCAGGTAACCTGAAAGCGGCTGTCCCGCTGTAGAATGCCCAGCACTGGCATCTCATCCATTAACCACATGCCTTGCCACTGCTATCTATTAACGCCTTTTGTCATTTGCATAATTTCAATGTGACAAATGGGGATCATCCATTCTTTTCCAAATAAGATGAATTAAGCCTTTAAGGGGGCATAGCTGCAAAAGACAGCAAGGGAACAAGAAACTAAACAAAAGCAATGACATAGAAACAAACAAAGAGGTCTAAAGGATCTGGGGCTTCCTTGCTTTGGCAATGCTGTGACTGCCCCCCCTATTAGGATGTGAATAGGGTTGGACTTCAGGATGAAGGGTCTGACTGGGGTGGTATTACAGAATAAACACTGTCACACTACTCAGAGTTTTTTTTTTTTGTCTTTTCATGGGCTCCTCGCTGCTTTCAGAGAGGACTGGGGACTTAGGGCTGATTCTAAAGGGCTTGCAGCCTATTCATTGTGGGCCCGGTGGACTTATACAAGCTACAGGCCTGAATGGAGTAATAATGGAGTGGAAGTGAATACTCACGACTCTAGAATACTAGACTCTCTCCCAATGCATGTCTTAGATAATGCAATATTTAATGTCATCTGTCAGATTGTCATGGATAACAACTCTGGCATTCATTGATGCTTCGTTCCAAATTAAAATGCAGCAAATTGGAAACCCAAGCATGTAATTATGCTGGAATGCAGTGGTTAATACAAACGGGCTCGGATAAAAAAATAAAATAAAGAGCAGAAAGCAGAGTGGTTATGTTGACCGAGATATTTAAAGTCATTCCATTTCACTTTTCATATGTATATCCTTTTTTCTTCTTTTTCAAAATTTCAAAGGCATTATATTCAAAATCCAATCCCGTTTCTTTATTTATGCACTACCCAGTAGATAACAAATGTCTCTGGCAGAGAATGAGCAGAACTGAGTCTTCATCATCACAGACACAACCTTTTCTACTTCCTCTTGAAAAGAAAGGAGGGAAGAAAAGGCAGACAGAAACAAGGGGGACAAAAGAGAAGCGCGGAAGATGAAAGGGAGCAAAGAAAGTTGCCCGGGCTCTAGCAGCATTCATTTAGTGTCAGACATCTGCTTTTTTATTGCAACCTGATGGCATTACTCTCCCCTGGTGCCAGCAGGCAATCACCTCTTTATCACATGGCAATTATCTCAGTAGCGCTGCTCTGTGACTCGCTGACTCTCAGCACTGTCACATGTGACCCCTTATAGCCCAACCAGCCGGGAACGGAGGGAGACGGGGGAGAGAGACAGAGACAAAGAGAGGAAAGAGGGAGAGAGAGAGGGTGAAAAAATGAGAGAGAGAGGGAGACAGTAGGTCAATGAGGTGAACTAAAAGACTGAAGACAGAAAACTGAAGCTCAAGGGCCCCATTTGTTACCCCAATGCTAGCAGGCTACATTTCCACAGTAAGATTTTAATAGGTTTTTTCATCTGATGCACTTTGTTATGTGTGTACATGTGTGTGCGCAGAGCTAGTCCTCCCAAGTATAATAGAGCTAAACCAGGTCACACACGTTTGTGTGTGTATGTGTTCAGGCAGTTTACAGCACAGCCAAATGATGCAGTAATCTGTTACCATCATTTCTCATGTGTGCTGTGTTGCAAAAGGCTCTGGGTGTGAGTCCCTCCAACAGGGGGAGATGTTTCCTAATGTGAGTTTACAGTCATCATCCTCCCTCTCATATCCACCCACACATTGTCACTATTAGCACCAAGTTAAACCATTTTCTTCCTCTCATTTATCTATCTCACACTCAGTCTAATGCATCTTTTAGGGAGGCAAGGGGGGGGGCACAGTGCTGGAGGTGCCCTTAAATCTAAAACTTGTCTCTTGTCCTCTGACACAGTATGCAGTCCTGAAGAGACCAAGGGAAGAGCTAAAATGGCTGTCTTCACAAAGAGACGCGGCTTCAGAAGACGGAGGAAGAAAAGTGACTTGAATCCAATCTAATTGTGTACAAATATGATGTTTGTGTCTTGAAGGGGAAATACAAAAGGTAATAAAAGCTGGTTTTATTACTTGCATTCAGCGATTCATGGGAGAACTATTATCACTCACTACTAACACTGGAATGAAACATGGGATCTCACTCTGTCGCTCTCCTTCGGCTTGTGTTTTATGAAATCACCTTTTTGCAAATAGGATGTCTCCTGTCAGAGCACACCAGTGTCTGTGTCTATCGTGAAAATGGCACATTTCTCATTTTTGGCATATGTTGTCAGTGTTGTACCCCTCCAATTTGTGTTCAGAGCCCCCTCCTTCTCCTGGTTTGACTAAAATCCAATTTACTGGCTGTCAGCTCAACTCTATAATCCTATCCACTGCTGTAGTGGAGAGGTAGCTCTTTGAATTTACCATTTACTGTACTCCCTGGTTATAGCTATATATACCATCTCTCCCCACGTCTGTATTCTATACTGTGCCACCTCCTCTTCTCTTGGCCAGTGTACATGGAGAGTGGGCGAACATGTAGTGTGTCTTTGGAGATAAAGTCCTTTTTCTGTCACTGCAGGTTTTTCGTCTTGGGGGAATATGTGTAGTTTATCTTGCCGTAAAGAAACATTCATCGTATCACTTCAGCACATTCCCGGTGGCTACAGGGGAATCAAGACGGCACACCATGTGCATGCAGCCAGCACCAGTGACTGTAATGTAATCACAACCACTATACAAGCTGGACACCCACACTGAAGATAACTAATATTTCCCTTTATTACACATTATTACGTTCCTAGCAGTCCGAACCAGTATTTAGATTCATTAAATAAGTCTTTAGTGAGATATGAAAACAAGAGCCTCGCTGACTGCCTCTTGTGGACTCATTACTTTATCAAAAGTTGGGGGGGGCGGGTGCGCGCTTTATCTCCAAGGTTGCTTTGCCTCAGAGTTTCGACTTGCTTTATTTTGCTAAATTCATTATATGCAGGTACATGGCATCCACAGCCTCTGTGATTCATAATAGTAATACAAGGAAAATTTCACCTTCGCTAACATCATTCATGCCGTATAATCTTTGTGTCGAGAAACCACATACGTGCAATCTCTCTGTTAGATTTAATGGTAATTGATTCTCTCTAATGCTGAAGTATCCCCGGTGCCCTTGTTACTTTCACTTGGAACTCAATTTCCTAGCATCATCCTGCTCTTTGTCATATTATATGTGTGTATCAGAGAGAGGAGAGAGGGAGAGGGAAAGAAAGAGAATTTGCTGCGCAGTAAGTGTGTACACTCTTGTGTGCGTCTGTATGAGTCGACACGGGTCTCTGCCACAGTAAATAAGAGTCATGGCCAACCTGAGCAGGGCACAATGGTCTCCCCGCAGACCGCCACTGCCTCCACCACCCCTTAAACATTTGCATTTCTCCACATTTCCTGGGAAAGGGCTGCATTTCATGAATGGTAATGAAGGTGGGAGTTTTACTGGAGAGAGCACAAGAGATGGCCTTGCAATTACTCTGGGATGGTCAATTTGCACATTTCACACTGGGTCCCGTGGCTGTGATGTGAAAATGAAGGAAATGGATAAGCCCCCAAGACCTGGCTAACGTCAACAATTAATGCTCGCATTTAGGAAAAGCAAAAAAATATATGAATTTGACATTCAAATAACTACAGGAAAAAATGAATTTGTGTTCCTTCTTCTTTGTAAACAAATACTCTGTGGATGTTTATGTGTATTTATGCAGTGTGTGGTGACAGAGGCCCTGGTTTTTATCTCAGCGCTGGATGGAAAGCTCTTCTTAAATTCATTTTAGACAGCTTCAAGTAGATTGTATGTGTGTGCATGCGGGTGCACGTGTGTGTGCTCTGCCTCAGCAGGGAAGAAGAAAGTTTGTGTGCAGATAAGTTGCCCATGGAATATTCTGAGTCAACTGTGGCCCCTGAAGCATCTCATGGGCCCAGAGGGAGGGACAGTGGGAGGGAGAGGGGAAGGGTAGAGAAGCAGTGTGATAGAGGGTAGAGGGGGCGCATGGTGAGAGGGGCTGCATAGGCTGTCTGAACTCATCAAAGAGCCGCGGGTCTGCTGTGTGTGTATGGTGCCATGCCCTAAGGGGGGTACGGTGGGTGGGGGTAGGAGGGCAGAGGGAAGCTGATGAAGGGGTTGGAGGGTACAAGCTAACTAAATGTGTGTGAGCCTACGTGCTGTGGGTAGTGAACGCCTGAATGTAATAACATAGCAGATCTGCTTGAGAGCAGGAGAGGACGAAGAAGTGATGATAGTTTGGCAAGCTGATTTTCACTTCAGACAATGTCTACCAAGTAGGGGGAAAAAAAAGTCCCTCTGTGTTCGGAAATTACTAGAGAAGATATGAACTTCAGATTTCAGTGGCAAATGTGTTAAAATATCTTATGTTTATTTGGACCAAATTACAGCAAAGCTAAAGGCAAAATGTTACATTGTATGTCCCATGTGGTCCCACTTCAGCAATACACTAAACTATCTGAAGAGGATTACAGGTCAAACAAAAATTATGTTTACTAATTGTACTAACTGTACTAATTTGCAAATATAGTGACAGCATCACTTGCTGCAGTCACAACAACAACAACAGAAAGTTAATAGCCACTAAGTGGCACATTTTAATGTGATCATTTAAGTGACTCTGATTATATATGTTTTGTAATTACATTTTGTAGAAAACAAGACAATCGTGGTAGAAGTTAGCACAGCCCATTGTTAGTATAAAAATACAATTTCAGCATGATTGACAGCTTCAAGGACTTTATAGAGGAGGATAAGTTAGCAGTATCCAAACATCTGAACAGTATCAGATTCAATGAATAAAGATTAGGATCGTTTCTTACATCTATTATAATTTCATTCCCACAGATATCAACTGCATAGTATACTGTATGTAATCAGCCAGTACATATGAGGATGGAAGAATTAAATGTTAAATTAAATGAATCAAATTTCCATTTGAGTTGTTCTGTATTTGCCACATGTGTCTTTTCCAACTCACCGCATGTGCGTAAGAGCTGTAGGTGCTGAAGGGAAGGGCGATGGCTGGGTTAAATATGCCAAACTGTCCAACCATCTGCTGCATACGTCTGATGGTGCGCTCCTTGTCTGTGTCGGCGAACTTGACCACCAAGCTGGAGGAAGCACCCTGATGGGGTAGAGAGAACAGAACATTAGAGGCAAAAGAGCATGGATACTTAACCCTGCTTTTCTGTAGGCACCTTTAACACCAACACTCAGTCAGTCAGTCAGTCAGTCAGTCAGTCAACATTAGGATTAAAGTCTTACAGCATCTCATCTCCAAGAAGACTTTGAGGAATAATTTGCTCATGTGACTGTTGATTGTAATGATTTACTGCATAGTAAAAAAGGATCAGTGTGTAGGATTTATTAGCCTCTAGCGATGAAGTCGCAGATTGCAACTAACTGAACACCACGCGTATCTGTATTTGACAACCTGGGAATGAGTGTGTAGGAGAAACTACGTTGGCCACACAAAACCCGTAAAAAAGGCTCATCTATAGCCAATGTTTGGGTTTTTCTGGGCTACTGTAGAAACATGGCAGTTCACCATGGCAGACTGCATGGAAGGCGACTCACAGCGTCTGTAGATAAAAACAGCTCATTCTAAGGTAATGAAAAAATATATTCAATATTCAGGTGATTATCACTAATGAAAACATACCTATGAATATTATATTCTATTTCTGCCAACAGATTCTCCTTAATGTTTCACACTGGACCTTTAAGAGACAGCCACTAACAAACGGCTCAGAAAGTCCAATAAAAGAGCATGAAGAATGTTATTGGTTATTATTTCTGATTTCTTAGTATGCCGTGTTCATTAGCAACAACAACCGCTGTTAACATCAATATCAAGTGAGCTCCTCTAATTGCATGTCAGGTTTTTTTGGGGGGCTTTCTAGACACAACATCATTGCACATTTGTATTATTGCACGATGATAGAATCGTGCCTCCTTATTTTGTGGCTGGCATACATAAACATGAACCCTACAGAGATATGTGAAGAATAAAAAGATTCTAGTTATTGAATGAGCACCTCTGTGTTTCTGTCTAGCAGATGTGCAGACAGAAAACATCCGTTCCTTCAATCAGTGTTTAACATATGTATAAAGTCACTTGGGACAAAGCAGCCTCGCTGTGCATGACATAAATACTTGATATTTCCCCCCGCTTACCCCCTCTGGTACAGTACATACATGTAACCTTGGTGCTCCTTCCCACAGTTAAGGTTAAAAGATCTGCAATGTACAATAATTTGAAATGAAAGTGTTTTCAAAGCTTTTTAGGGCAATTTCTCTCATTCTATCCTCTTTCTGTTTTAGCCTCCCTCTTCGTTTTTGTGGCTCAGGCTATTCGTCCCATTATCAACACTATTACATCTTTCTGCAGGCCAATAATGAAACAGCAGGTGTGTCTGCCACACACCCTTCATTAAGAATCTTCAAATGATTTAGCGCTACAGTTGACCTTTTGTGTGCTCCGCCTCTCCTCCCCTCTGCGCCCCCAAACTGGCCAATCGATCCACATAAAAGGCCGAAATATTACTCTGATCTGACAGTGTAGAAAGGTTGTGTGTCAGTCATGATAAGAGCCCCCCTGAAATTGATGCAAGATTGTCAATAACAGTGGTGACTGGGGAAGTGCCTGAATTGAAGGTTGGGGGTTAGGCCTTTCAAAGTGCTAAAGGGGGTATTTCTAGATTTGGTTGGATCTGGGTGAAACCTGACTTGTGCTGGACTATAGACAAGCAGTTATAAATGGAAACTGTAATGCAAGCCATATTATTATTAATAATTCATTAAAGTTTTTATTTTAGTTTGTTTGCATTTTTCCCTGACTGAGGTCCCAGGAGTTCTGTTAATAAAGACATCTTTGGATAGCAATAGATGTTTAAAGACAGGCACTGGATCTTTCAACTGTAGCATATGGATTTTATTCTCTCCCTCTCCCTTTCTCCCCACTTTTCTCAATATTCCCCCGAGCCCTGTCCTCCTGGCTTGTTCACTGGTTGAATCACAGGTTTGAAGGATTGTAGGTGAGTGGCCAGTTGGTTAGTTGGCTGTCTGACTAAATGGCTGATTGTCTAGTTAGTTGAGTGATTGACTGACTGACAGGCTAGTTGGCTAGATGGTTGGCTAACTGGCTGACAGACTAATTGTCAGACTGTCAAGCTGGCTGACAACTGTACTCTGGCAAGCTGAGTGACTAATTGTTTTGCTTCTTACTGTATGTTCAATCCTGCCGCACTGGAACACCATATTTTCCTGGTCACTGAGATCCGTGTATGACTGCACAACAAACAGGATAGAAACAAGATGTTGAACAACATAATCTTTCTGTTTCTCTGCCTTTCAATATATCATATATTAAGAGAACGCTTAGTCAGTTCAAGGTTAACTAACACACAGTTGCAGATTTAGGGTTTGTCTGTTGTGTCTGTCCAGCTTTTTAGTATCTGCATCATTAACTTTATTATGAGGTTTAACTTTGGGAGAGTCCAGGACAGGGCAGAGCAGGACCAGAATACAGAGGAGATGTGCTAGTACATTGAATATTTTAACTCCCTCTCTCAGTTAAGCTATTAAAGGCCTACCCTCTTTGGTAATGAGAGCTGCATGTTCCTGCTCTGCTTCTATAATTTTTGGGGAAGGCTGAGTTTCATAATCTGAGGATACGAAGTTGGAACACTGCAGTCAACCTCTTTTCCAACTAGTACTAGACTGGAGTGTGTCTGCTTGAATAATAGAAACATGGTCTATTGTGAATTGACCTGTCTGGTTGTATAAGAGGCCTTGTGCCATTCTCTTTCATACTCGTGCATGTATGTCCCACTCTCTGCAAAGCTTTTTTCAAGGAGCTCTATACACTGACTCTGCCCTCCTACTGGTTCTCCTCAGGACACCTGAATCGTATGGCTTGTTGGCCAAGCATCTGCTGCCACATTTGTTTATCTCCCAGGTTTGCCCAGTTAGGCCTGTCAGGATATCAGTGAGCAAAATCTCCATTGCTATAAAGAGAGGAGGATGAAGTGTGAAGTAAAAGTCTCATTAAATTTTTAAGCTGCCAAGTGTGAGCAGAATCCCCCCACCAGGCGACTCCCAGCTGCCTAGAGAGCCACTGAAGGAAGGGGAGTTAAACAGGGGGGATAAAACAGGCACCACAGAGATTCAGAACCAAAAGGAAAGTCTGCCTCTTTAAAGTTCCCTCTCATTGCAGCAGAGGCTTGGTGTCTATCCAAGCTACGCACCCAGCTATACATTCCACACTTTTTTAACTTTAAACCAATGCCGGCGTGCATTAGTGCAGGGAAAGCAGGAAGACTGATCATGTGTCCTGTAGTGGTATATAGCTCTATTGGTTTCAAGTGTCACATGGTGAAGGCCTTAATGGTGTCCAGTCTGCGCGGGTTAGTCACACTATGATTCAGTGCTAGCACGAAAACAAAAATTAAGAAATACATCCCGTCTTTCTGATAAACATGATTTCATCATCCTTACAATGGATCATTTTTCATCACTGTGAGTAAAATAAAACCTGCCTCTTTTTAATCAGAATGTATGGCCGTAACATATGGCATCGTATTCCATCCACATTGCTCACCATAGATTAAACAACTATTATATATTCAAGACCTTATGCCTTAATATTAAAAATTCCTTTGACCGTGTTCTTTAGGGAACCCCCCTTCATAAAAATGAGTGCTACATGTGCTGCTCATCAACTGTTTGACATGTTTATTTTCAGATATATGATGAGTTTCACATACCTACATATATAATAGATCTCCCTCAGCCACATTGAGAATTTGAAATTTGAGTTATTTATTGTGTCCCCACTGAGCTATATCAACACTGCATATACAGTTAGCTGCTGCAGTATATAGCATACGATTTATGACCTTAGGATGATACTATTGTACTAATAAGGCATTACCGCTCATGGAAGCATAAAAATACACATTCTTTTTTAGCTTGGTAGAATAATGAATGACTATAATCTATTAGGTGATTAGAATGTAATTTGTTTGGGTAGAAATACTTGTGGGGGAAATGACAGGTCCTCAACAATAAACACTAACTTAAAAATATAAAGGCAGAACGTTGTTTAATGAGTTGTAACACAAAGATGCATCATCCTTGTGAAATACTGACTTATTAAAACTCTGCATCTCATTGAATACACAATGAGACCATTACTGTTTTCTGACTTAAACCAGCATTTATGTATTGTAATATCTGCTGTTTGTTGCCTTTCTACTAATTTTATTATTATTTGAGGCAGTGACATAGTGATCTATACATTAAAACTATGTGTCTTGTTGAGTATCAAATCCTGGAACTCATGCACACTTGCATGTGTCTGAAGTAATAGAGAAAATCCAGCAACGGGGGAATCACATTTAAATGCTTTTTTAACCCTCTATTCTCTTCACTCTCAATCATCCAGCTCTCTCTTCTATGGAAACTTTACCTCATTTGCTTTCCTTTGTTCTTCTCTTATTCTTCCATCATCCTGCTCCTGTGTTTCTATCTCAGTCCCTGTGTCAACTGAAACAGCCTCAAACCCAGGCTGAGCTGACGCGGATACGGAGTGAAAAAATCAGCACGGCTCTAAGGACCTGACCCACACACCCTTCGTCTCGGTGTAATTCTGTCCCGGGACTTACTTCCTACACGGCCCTGCTGAATCCCAGCAATTTGCTCTACAGCTCTAGCGTTTAAATGTTTAATTGAGCCACTCATATCCTGAACTGTGGCAGGGTGTGTGTGTGTATGTGTGAAAGCCAAAGGAGGCTGAGGGATGGTGGTGGTGTGTATGGGAAGCGGAGGTCTGCATACTTGAAATATGACGGGCTAGGGTGTGATGGAGATCCAGCCAAGGTCTTATATGTGACCTGCTGATGCACTCCTATAATTCATACACTTAGACTATCTTGGTATCATCGTTCATAGAATGACATAATGTCGTAGTTTGCTATTGGCAGATCATTTTTCATTTGGTGTCTGTCAAAAATATACAGAGATGAATGCGTGGATGTATACATGCTCCCATACATGTATGCAGACATGTACAAGTATATTTTTGCATGCACTGACCATCATATATGTATACGCATATATACTCACCACATACATGCAACACACTCCATGGAGATTTTTTTCTTTTCTTCCCAACTCACACATACAATACATACAAAATGCCCACTCTCCCTCTACATGAATAACACAAATGTATTCAGCTCAAGTCCGCCGAGCTGGAAAATAAGATCAGTCAGGGAGCCTTTGACCCTAGCCTGTGGCTGTACGAGCATGTGACAGTGAAACAGAGAGAGGAGCAATATAGAAAGAGTATGTATGTGTGTGTGTGTGCTCATGTAAATGTGCTAGCCACAAAGTGCTTCTGTTTGTTGATGTTTATGTATGCACACACATGCATTCATGTGTGCGTGTGTGTGCAAACTGATAAACTCTAAGAAGCCAGTCTTCATGCTTTGGGGGATTGGCAGTAGATCTATCAAACTGTTGTAGTTAGTCGCAGTGTTAATATTCGGTGCACTTCAGCACCTCAGATAGTGATGCTATTGGCTGGGCTTGATTCATGGTCATTTATCTGAGTCTTCTAAGCAGCCATGGCCTTGGTGTGGCAGCAAAAAGGCACACCCTTGTACATTAAGGGTGTAACAGCGTGTGTATTCGTCCAGAACTGTTCGGTACAGGACTTTCAGTTTAGTGTCCGACTGCCTCAGTTCAGTACACCCTGTAACCCAAACACTGACAGTCAGATGATCCTACTAGTTGCATTTGCGGAACAAAATTTCTTTACCTAGAAACGTTTTGCCATGCACCACTTGTTGTCCATCACCTATAGCACAAGACAAAATCTGACTGTCAGCTGCAGATGTGGACCGTGCCAAAGTAATATCTAATGCTATGAAGGTGTTTATCGCTATATTATATGGCCATACTTGGTTGTAAATACAGGTCTTAAGCTTATGGGGCTTGAGCCCAGCTAAAATGTGGCTTCACATGTGCATTTTAATCAGTCTGTTGTGCCTACCCTGTATAAATGAGTGCAAGGGGCAGTTGTTCAGGAATTATCAACGGGTCAGAGTGTTACGATGGATCATTAATGACATTTTCGTTATTAATTATATTGACAATATGCCAGTATTTGAATGCATTACGTGTTTCAGAAGAATTGAACAGACTAATGAGCTACAAATTACAAAAATATTATTTTCAGTTGTTGTTGTTTTTTCCCCCCTGCTGTACCAAAAATTTTGCTACATACTGAACTCTGAATTTGGTGTACCATTGTACACCTATTATATACACTGGCTCAGTTTGTCTTAGTTCCTTAGAAAGACTCATCATTCCTATTAGCCCTAGAGAAATAGGAATGAGGCGATGGCTTATAACAATGGATGCCCTTTACAAGTTCAGTATGTATCCTGAATTGTAGCCTTCAGTCTTCTTCTTTTGTTTTCTCTGAATTCTTTTTGCAGCTGTGACTCAACTGCAATCAACATGTACTCAAATGGACACAGGATGTATGGTCCAAGGTTTTTCCAGGATCTTTGCTACACTGATGGACACTTTGCTCTGAATAGCACCGTCCTGCTGAGGCGTAATGGTCCACTGGTGGTCCGCTAATCTCTGCAAGGCAGGCACACTGTGCCCTCTCCTCCAGCAGCCACAGGATATGAGATGCTGATCAGATTTCTATAATCAATTTACCAGTGCAGGAGGTATAAATCCTGTCCATTCACTCATTCTCCCTTTGCTCCCTCCTCTCTCTGCCTCTCACTCTCTCTCTAACTCTTCCTCCCCTTCTTTCTGCCCCCTGCTTATAGTTAGATGAATAATTCAGTAGCCAATGTGGTGAAAGGTGGAGTAAACAAGTCTATTGCCTAATATCCCGAGAGGCTGCCAAAGAGAGACGAGTGAGGGCAGAGAGCTAGCAGAGATAGGGGGATGGAGCAACAGAGAAGGAGGGTATCTATGTAGAATGGACATCCAGAGTCTTTCCTCATGACCTGCAGTCATTTGCACTTAGATTGACTCTAAGGTTGCACCCAAATGGCACAGCTGGCTTCCAGTGCTTCTCTTTGCTTTCCTCTCTTCAGCCACACATTGGCAACCATTAATAATAAAATCATACAGTGAAACACAACATCTGTGAGATAGGGTGGTAGAGAGTTCAGGGTCCTTGCTTCTCTAAGGCAAGAGTTCCCGAAACAAAAATGAGGATAAAAGCAGAGTATACTTCAAGCAACTGTATAATATAGGACGTGACTCTCTGTCCGCTCGCCGGATGTCACGGAGAATAACTCTATTCAGGTTTGGAGTGCAGAGTAAGTAGCTTTTATTTTGACACCATCAGGTATACAGGGACCATGCCTAAACACAAGACACATACAAATGAGCAATACAGCTTCTGCGTTCATAGTAAATCCAATACAGAAAGAATTCAGAGGACATGGTATGCTTACATAACGAGGAAATGTAATCTCACACTGGAGTTATATTCACTGATTATGCAAGCAGAACTACTGATTGATGACTCACCCAAAATTCAATTATCATTCTAAACAGTTTTATCTGGAAATTAGATTTGGGTTTTTAAAAAAGTACCATGTTAATTAAAGAGACAGAAGGTTATTTCTGGCCGTATCTGTTTTTAAAGCTGGAACATTTGTGAGGATGGTTACACTTTCTACACGCTGATTAAAACCTGCATACAATTGTGATTGGTGGTCCTTGTGTGCTTGTTGTGTATGTGATGGATGCTGCGTGGTGTGTGTGTGTTTCTGCGGTTTTATAAGTAAGAAAGAGAGCTGTACTTACTGGCATGGTCTGGCTGCCATGGAGGGCACTGATTGCTGACTGAGCCTCAGTATGTGTGGAGAACTTGACAAAGGCGCAACCTGGAAGAGAGAACAGATGCACAACACACACACGCAGGCACACACACATAGGTACACACACACACACACACACACACACATACAGTACATACAGTAAATGTAATCAATTGAGTGAGTTTACAAGCTTACGGTATATTAATAAAGGATGTTGAATTATATTTGACACCACAGAAATCACTGTGCAGTGAGAGGCTCTCATTGCACAGCAGGCTGCCCCACTCCGGGCATTAGGCAGGCAGACAAGCAGGCAGAAGCTGCAGGCTAAAGATTGCACTGATGAAGCAGAAAAGCATGCTATTTAGCACCACATGCCTGTCTGTGCATATTAAATACTAGCTAAACTGGCTAAACTTTTCTGTTTGAAATGTTTTCAAACAGAAAACCACTCAATTCGAGAACTCAGTGCAGTTTATTGTTCCCACGACAGGATGTTCTCATCAATTTTTGTGAATATGAAGATGCCTGTCAAAAGGCCAGAAAACCACAGAACCAAAATTCTCTAGCGCTAATGTTCTTGAGGAATATTAGGAGGGGTAGATAAAGTGAAAACACGTGGATGATAGCTTTTGTGGATTGCAAAGTGAGCTGTGGCACATTAATTATTAAATTATTAAACTAAAGTATGCCTCCCCCCCCTTTAGAACCGGAAAACTTGGAACATATTTCACAAATTGATTCAAAGCAGTACACTTTGTCTCCTTAAGAAGAGATTCTCATTCTCAGCACTGTGGCACTAACTGCTTGTGTTTATATTAAAATATCAATTATACTTCCATCTATCCATTTATTTTTTCATCAAGGTGTTTTTTATGGGACGCACTGCATGGGTTGAAGGCATGAGATCACAGGTACAAATGATCAATCAATCACAGAGCTAACAAATGAACACACATTCTCAATGATACGTGTGTACAGATTATACAGTGCCCAATACACTGCTATGCGTGACTCTGGAGTGAGTTTATCAAAGTTGAAGAGGGCAGAAGAAAACCAAATGAATAACAACAACAAAAAAAACCTAAACTCTCAACACAGAAATGTGTGAGGACTGAACCTGGGTCTGTTGGAGCAAGGCAGCAGTGCTAACTACTGAGCCACCATGTCCTCTCATAATTATACCCTATTTCACCTAATTTCATTTCATTTTAAGTTTCTTTTCTATTCTTATTTAATCTTTCACACTTTATTCTTCTTATCATCTATCCTGCTTGACCCAGCCACCCTGCCATTCTTCTCCTTCTTAATGGGCTTACCCCTGTGGACACCAGCCAATCAAGATGCCCATTCAGCTGTCAAACCACTAACCCCTATTGAGATATGAAGAGAAAGGAGCTAGAGCTTTTCATGACCTGTACAAGGACTTTGCTACAGTAGTACAAACTATATGACATTATAAGTATGCATTTAACCCTGAGTATACTTTGTAAGCATGTATTGCCTCTACCTGAAATAACAGGAGTGTTAATGTGAAACTGAAAATCAAATCAAGAGATCATAAAATATTCTTAACCTATTAATCAATTATTAATTACTTAAACTCAAAGAATATTGTTGCATATAATTCTGTACAAATAGGATTGTGTTATGGTTATGTGCCAAACAGGTCTGTTTTTGTCAGCAAAAGGCAAACTAAATGTATATATCACAAACTAATACAGACAAGCCATTAAAGATATGATATAATATGATAGTAATGTATGAAGTCCGTTTTTTTTTAACTAGAGCCGACTAGAGCATAAATATTGCAGAGCCACAAGAGGAATGCAACTTCTAATAGCAGAAGAATAGAAGTTTAAAAGCTCTGTTAGTGTAAGTGTAAGTTCGTTATGCAGAATGACGCATTTCAAAATCAGAACAGTACCTATCATTGTATTGTAACAATTAGTATTGACGCATTCATATGTAAACATCACTTTAAGCTATTAAAGGTGGGGCTTATTTAAATTTTTCACAAGGGGTTTTAAACTGGTTATCAAATAATCAATTTAATACTGATGCCTCTATATGACCTACATAAGCAAACCAGACCATCACAACCGGGTTGGATTTGAAATCATAAATAAATAATATTAATAAGTAGGTGTCATATACATATAGTTTAGTAAAAAGTACATTATTTGTCTCTCACATATAGCATGTATAAAGTAGCATAAAATGGAGATACTCAAGTAAAGTACAAATACCTCAAAATTGTATTAAAGCACAGTACTCGAATAAATGTACATTCCACCACTGGCAACTTCCCTTGACTGCCCCCTTCCTCACAGTGGGGACACTTGAATTGTTTTGACATCCATCTTTCCCTTCTCCTCCTCCTAACCCACTGCAGAGTAAGAGTGCTCTGGCTTCAAGCCCCTTTAAATATAATTCCACAACAATTTCCATAAGCGCCGGCTGGGGAATAGGCTTTAGAGACATGAAGAACCACTAGTCCCTTTGCTCTTTGCTGCATGTCAGAGGGAATTGATGTCTCCAAAAGTTTTTGGCTGTCTTAAAAAGGCCTGCAAGATATCAACATTACAGTGCCCAAGTTACAGTAAGGGGCCTGCAGTACTGTACATCCATAGGAAAATATGCTTTAGGTTAATACCCAGTGACAAAAAGGAAATCACGGCTTTGTAATGTAGAAGATATATGCTGAGGAAGAGTTTGTGACGGCACAGTCAGCATTTTAAAATTACTGGCATTTTTTTAATTGTTGCTATATTTTATGGGATTACAAATACATAACATAGGGTATCTTGTTTAGCTGGTGGTGACCGTGCAAGTAGAGAGTCTTGGTTTTATTATCTGATATTTGGATTTTATCACAGATTATCCCTATATCTATTCAAAACTGTTTTCAGACAAAGAAGAAAATACATTATTATCCCCTTTAAAATGTTAAAAAACTTCAATTTGTGAGTGTCTACTGCCACAAAAAATGACAATAATTTCTCCGTAAACTGAACAAAAGGAGAAAGTCAAACCAACTAATTATCCACTTAACGTCTCTCATAGTCCCTAATTATGAGAGTCAGACATCAATCAAAGAGTATTTAATACATTCGGCTTAACTTTTTTGTCACTGCCTGCAGCCGACTACCACATCATACAGTGCAGCGTAACAATGTTTGTAATTACGTGAAAATCTGGTGCATATGTCAAATATATTTGCCATAATCCAGCTGACGTAGACACTAACACACACTGTCACTTCTTTGCCAGTGACCTAAATAATGCTGACAACTGTATCATGGCTCCTACCTTTGCTGTTTCCGTCAGGACCTCTTAGGACCGTGCACTCCTCGATGACTCCGTAGGGTTCAAAGAGGCGGTAAACATCCTCCTCGGTCTGTTGTTTGTTTAGCATCCCAACAAACAACTTCCTGTCTTCTGGAACAAACAATGAGACAAAAGGTTAAATTATAACTTTGACCTCAATTATGAAACCAATTTGAGAACATAACAGTGGTGAAACCTCATCATTGTTGGGTGGAACAGGCGCGAACACAGACAAACAATATGTTCACAGAGTCTTGGTACTGTACAGTGGGGTGACTGTCCAGTTTATTTAGCGCTGGTCTTTTCTAAGACTGATCATTTTAATCTCTACTACAACTGGGTTTAGTCCCATATGAGCACATATACTGTAGCTGTTGGGGGTAAGTGAGTGGTCAGGGGCTAGAGGGAAGAGCAATGGGAAGACTAATGAAGAGGTCTAACACACAGACACACACACACACACACACACACACACACACACACAGAGGCACAGAGACCCAAGACAATGAGCAAGTCTTTGGTCCTTTAAAAGCACCAGGGGCTCCAGGCAGCTCCAACCTCCTACACAGCACACTGTACTGGCTGGAAACTCGCACACTCTCCTTCTCTTTTACCCATTCTCTCCCTTGGTCTCTCTCTCTCTCACTTTCTTCTCTATTCATCTCTCTCTCTGCTCTCTTTTCTGCTTTTCTTTTTCGTCGCTGATTCTACATTTTTCCCCCTCGTTCTTTTTCAACTGCCTGCCTCCCTCCCTTCCTCTTTATCTCTCTCTTACTCTACTAATTGCTGCTGATCCAGTGTTTTTTGGGTAGCCAGAGAAATATTTCAGTATGCTCTTCAGTGAACAATGGCGTGTCTCTCTTGCGAGCAACGAAGGCTGGGAGACATGCCATGAATAACGCTGACTTTTCAATAGATAGCCTGTATGCTATTGAGTCCTGTTAAATGCTGTGGGATCTGATCTTTACCTTGACCTGACACACTGTGTTTACTGATGTACTCTGGCCTTGTATGATTAATGCTACAATGCAGTGTGTCTGTGCTGGCAGCAGAAGCACTAAAAACCTTCCCTTTATACAGATTGTTTCTCCAACTCTGACCTGTGAAGTCACAGTGGAGAGACTGAGTGAGAGACAGGACTAGCGGCCGCTGCTGTGAAGAGGTTGAGAGCGGTATAAATCGCTGCCAGAGGTATTGCACAGTGTCAGGGTGACCTGTGACGACTACCGAGTGTGTCGTGTTGCTGTCGTTCCCTGACCCAGACACAAGCCGATACCCACATTCCTGCAGCGGGCACGGCAGTGAGTGTATGTGGACACAGGGCCCAGCTACGGTTTCAGCACTCAGCACCACCAATGATGCACCTTTAAAATAATCACCCGTGTCAGAGCGTTGTCTAGGGAGGGGCGTCCCTTGTGCTGGCTCCTTATTGCAAGTGGCAGGATCAGAGGCTATGTATCAAAATGGAAGTGATGCAATGTGACATCTGTCAGGGTGGATTGGAGAGCATTTATCTGCAAAAAAAGGAAAGCCCTGAACTGGAAAATGAAAGGCCAAGATGGTCCTTCCTTTTGCTGGAGGGAGAATATAAATTCTGAGGTTGGATGAGTGGAAGAAGGGGGGGAGGGGTGGGGCTGCACAAATTTCCCTGAATGCCGCCAGAACACATCTCATACACGCTTGTGTATACAGCTGGAGAGCCACACACAGCAGACAGGACCACCCATTCAAACGTTGCGTTCCTCTTGCCCCTACGTTGCTTGTAACTCCCTTCTTCAAGTAGATGAAGGGGATCTGACAAGTTTTAAATGAATGCATGACCTTTATCAATTTCATATGAGCAATTCCATATGAGCTGCACTCAGGCGATCGCACTATGCACAGCTCGCATGTGGCATGACTTAAAATACGACACGGCATCCCTCGCTCAGCTGCAAGATTGCTAACTGGCCACGTCACCTCCACCTGAATGGAATAATATTTATTTGACTTCAAGTGTAACAGGATCATTGGCCACTATATATCACATTCCTGCGTAATATTGGTTCACACTAAGATAAACAAAACACCTTACACACTGGAGTCATGTTAAGCGTGCTGGCTTTTTGCATTACGTCTCAGGGAGGTGCTAATCTGAACGAGTTGACTGCAATGTAAGAAAGATGTGACTTTATTTTTTTTATTTTATTTACAGCAGTGACATTTAGTAGGAGTTCCTCATCTGTGGCTGAGAGAGAGATGGAGTGCATGTTCTGCAACGTGAGTGTGCTTTGAAAACAAGCTAACAACGCATGAAAACAGATCATCTAGGAGATCTGTTCCACCGTCTAGGATTCTGCTGTGTCTGCTCTGAACTAAAATGCTACCATGGGAATTCAGGTGTTGTGTTCATCACCAACTGAAACACTATCTCATTTATCTACAACCCTGCAGCACAGGCAGTGTGCAAACAGACACACAGAGAGTGCAAAACACCTACAGTCATTTACACATATCTGGGGGGGGGAGCAAAAGAGGAAGAAAGGGAGGGAGAAAAATTACATGCACACACTGACACAGAGGATTACAGATGACAGATCCCCCACCATGACCACACACAAAGTAGACTCGAAACGAGTTGCGTGTCCCACTGTTAACCATCACGTAACTACAGTGAATTGACTTTTTCTTCAGGGCAGCTGTTCTTTTGAGTAATGCTCTCTAATATGTGTTTTTCTAAGTACAGTACAAATAGATGTTGAGTCTCTGTGACACAAAAAACACATACACGAAGCTAACAGCATTACCACCAGTATGATAACTGCGATTGTTGCTAACTTCCATCAACCAGCTGCTACTACACAAATCTCTCACCATCTCAGCTTTCACCGTTTTTATATGATTTACGTGATGCTGTACACGTTTAAACCTGATCTGCAATATATTTTTACATTATACATATTTTTAACTACATGACTGTATTGGGCTCTAAGCACTGCCAAAACATAGTTGACCAACACTCAACACTGTGCATGAACCCTGTGTAGACAAAGACAAAAGACTGAAGCTGCTGTAACTGCAATGCTGCTGCTAGCTGGTGCTGTAGCTACTGCCAACTGCTATTGCTGGCCTTTTGGCCTCTGCTGCATGACAGGTTGTAACACATCACAATAATCATGCTTCATCTGTTTGGTATTCTACTAAAATGCAAAGTTGGGTATATATACATATATGTATATACAATATTCGTCTGAAGTGAAGAAAAAATAATAATATTTCTCTGCCCAATGACATATTCCATATGTATGGGAACTGACGCCCTACATCTCGTCACTCAGAGATCTACATTTACATAATCGTTCATTATATGCAGGTAACACCAAACAACTGTGTTTTGCCATGAGTCCATTTAGGTTTTACCCACTGCCTGATTTTTACTGTGTAATATGTTTTACATATTTTACTTTGAACTGGACCATTAAGCCAATGTCAATGTGTTTTACATAATTAATAGCAGATTAAATCAGAAACATTGTTTGTCTTGACTGAATCATGTTTTTAGCTCACTGAATTGACACGCAACCCTGAAACATTCTTTAAAGCTGAGAGGTTAAAACATGATTAGCAGTAAATGCATATTTTCTCTTATGCAGCTTTCAGAAATGGCTGAATCATCTTCCTGTTACAACTACTCACCTGTGGTAAATTGTGTCTACTGTATAGATGAATACAAATGAAGGCAAGAAATTATGAGTTGTTTTTTCTTGCTTACATCACAACAGAGCCTAGTCGAATACCGTCCTAAATTAAAGCGACTCTAAGCTCTATAATGTTTACAGTGAAATGTCATCATCTAAACAATTCAATACCCACCAGTAAGTTAACTGTGAAAACTGTGCCGCATGCAGGCATTAGGATGCATTTACAGCTCACTGTGGCAGAATACTGTATGCAACTTCATTGTGACACACACCACTGCCATCCTGAAATTCACCCCCATCATGTTTAATTTACTCTGAGTTACTAAACAGATGCTTGTTTGGAATAAATGCATTGGAAATTAAACTCCAGAATAATGAAATGGCAGTGTGCTGCCTGGTTATACATACTGTAGATTACTGGGTCCATTTGGACCATTTCTAATCAATATAAGCTTTTCAGTTTGAGCGCATTGGCCTTGTGTGAAGTCTTTGAGTCACTGCGCAGAAGCAAATTATATCAGTAATATTTCATATCTCAATTCTTCATGTTGTAGTCTGACCATTACAGCACGTGCATGATAAACAATACCACTGTAATTCCTTCCCTATAAACAACTTCTTTTGTTAGATAATGTTCATTTGGCTGGAAGTTTGGCTCTCCCTTCTATACAGGGTACTGTATATACTTTATGCAGCCTTGTCCAGTAAACGGGAGACATATTACTGTATTCTCTATGATTACACTGCAGGCTGCTGAGGATTTTGACAGTGAAATAAGACTTTTGTAATAGCAATGGGGCAGAAAAGGAGTTTTTGGAGCAACAAGAGAAACAGAGAGAGAGAGACAATAAGAGAGAGGGAGAGAGAGAGACAGAGAGAGAGTGAATGTGTAAGAGTGAGAATGATGCACCCATACTGTAAGTCGATGTGCATACAGTCCTGCAGTCCTTGATAAGCCAGAATGGATGAAAGAACTGCACCATAGGAGTTGGTAAATCATTGTCAGGGGTGGGGAGGATGAGGAAAGGGAAGGGAGGGAAGAGACTGAGAGGGGGAGGGATGGGAATGGGGATGTTGCGGGAAAGGAAAGCATACCAACTGCCTTAGGTGCTCTCTGGTTTTCAAATTTCTCTTCTCTGTCTGTCTCTTTCTCAATCGTTGCAACAGCAAGGGAATGGGGATGGAAGGAGGGAGAGAGATACTGTGACAGAGGGAGAGAGTGTGCTATAGAGAAAAAGCCCTTGTCAGAAGGATGGGGAGGTTGCTATGACAACTACTTATACAGCGGGCTGTCAGTCATGTTTCATTGGAGTTTGGAGAGGAGGAAAGGAATGGAGGGAGGAGAGGAGTTAGGGAAGGAGGGGTTGGAAATGGGTCATTTCTCCGTCTGTCGGCTGAGCCGGAGTGTAAATTTGACTGTCAGGCTTGAAG